TTGCTTTGGCCATTTGGGTTTTTTTTGTGTTTCCATGCACATTTTGGGATTGTTTGTTCTAGTCGGTGAAAAATGTCATTGGAATTTTGATAGGGATTGCATCGAATCTGTAGATTTCTTTGGGTAGTATGGACATTTTCATAATATTAATTGTTCCAATCATAAACATGGAATATCTTTCCATTTTTTTGTGTTCAGTTTATTCCATCAATGTCTTACAGTTTTTGGTGTAGAGGTCTTTCACCTCTTTGATTAAATTTATTCCTATGTATTCTTTTTGATGCAGTTGTAAATGGGACTGTTTTATTAATTTCTCTTTGCGATAGTTTGTTATTAGTGTATAGAAATGCAACTGCTTTTTCTGTATTGATTTTGTATTCTGCAACTTTACCTAATTCATTTATCAGTTCTAATAGTTTTTTTGGTGGAGTGTTCAGGGCTTTCTATACATAATGTCATCTGCAAATAGTGTCAGTTTTACTTCTTCCTTTCTAATTTGTATATCTTTTATTTTTCCTCCCTGACTGCTGTGGCTAGGACTTCCAGTAATATGTTGAGTAAAAGTGGCAAGAATGGGCATCCTTATCTTGTTCTTGATTTTAAAAGAAAACCTTTTGATATAAGTGGGCTTGTCATATATGGCCTTTATTATGTTGTGGCACATTCTCTTTATACCCACTTTGATGAGAGTTTTTTTGCATAAATAGATGTTAAATTTTGTCAAATGCTTTTTCTGAATCTGTTGAGATGATCATATGATTTTTATGCTTCATTTTGCTCATGTGGTGTATCATGTTGACTGATTTGTGGATGGTGAACCGTTCTTGCTCCCATGGGAGAATTTAAATCCCACTTGACCATGGTGTATGATACTTTTAGTACATTGTTGAACTGCTTGTTAATACTTTGGTGAGGATTTTTGCATCCATGTACTTCAGGGATATTGGCCTATGGTTTTCTTATGGTGTCCATGTGTGGATTGGGTATCAGGGAAATGCTGGCCTTGTATACTTGCTCAGATTTCTACCAATTTGGCTACAGTTTCTGGGGGAGGTGTAGTAAAATCTTCAAGTATACTTGCTGGTTTATCTATTTCTTTTCTGTTTGGTCTGTCAGTATTTCAAAACCAATAGGCTCTTATTCAAAATAGCTCGCTCCTGACTAATGTTTCCAGTGTCCTCTCCCATCTCTTGGGAGCTGATTTTTGTTAATATTAAATTCATGTTGTGCTTTATAAATCCTTCTGTATTGGCTGGTGGGCTTCTTGTCTTCCTGTGTGGCCTGGCTCTCCTAGAGTTGGTTTCCCCCCTAGACTCCTTATTCCTTGGGACTCTCAGCTCTGTTGGCAGGTAACACATAACAGGCAAGCGGTGAAAGCCCGGAGTTTAGCTCAGTGTTCTTCATGTCAGCTGCGTGGTGCTGGTATCACCTGGGGCTCCCTGCTCAGTCCTGCCTCCAGAGACTCTGATTATGCTGAGCTGGCTCTGGTCAGGCATAGGACGTTTTTAAAGGCTCTCCCGGTGGTTCTAATGTGAGGCTAAGGTTTTGACCATGTGTACCCCCTCCAGGGAAGGACAAGAAGGGCAGGTGGGTAGATGTGGTGTGGGTGCCCCATCCCATCGGGAGGTCCAGACCCTCAGGGAGACACCAAGGGTTTCTGCCCAGCACCACCTTTCCCAAGACTCGCATCTCTGGTGGCACTTACCTTGCCCAAGGTGTGGGGAGAGGGGAGGCGGGAGCTCAGGGGCCCACCCAGCTGCTGTTTTCGTGGTAAAAGGATGAAATGACTCACCCAGGGCTATGTTGGGGAGTTGAATGAGCATAGCCAGAAAATTGCTGTCCCTACACCATCTCTCACCTGTGGCGTTGGCCTTCTTTCCCCCTCAACTCCTGCTGTCCCTTACCCCTGAGACCCAAGCCCCTCTGAGCGTTAGTGTTGGGTCCTGCGATCCATCAGTCTTCTCTCTTTCCTTGGCCTCCCTGTGCTGGGTTTGCTGGGAGAACCGGCAGCCCGTGGTGGTTCCTCTTGCTGTCCCCTCCACCAGCATGGATCTCGTTGGGTGTTGCAGCTTCGGAGATGAGCTGGGTGAGGGCCAACCCCTCTCCCTGGTCTCTGGTCTCTGTGGGCGGGGCCGGCAACAGGGCTTGTCAGGGAGGCAAGGGGGCCCGCCACTGGCCATCACGGCTCCTGGGGTCCTCACGAGCCTCACAGCAGGTGCTGCTGGGGCTCATTCTCCTTGGGCTCCACAGTGGTTGAGTCCAGTCTGTCCCCCCAGCTGCTGTGAGGAATTCATTCGTTCAGAGCGTTTGCTCATCCCTGCTTTTCCTCGGCCTGTCCTGGGGGCTCAGTCTGAGTGTGTATGTGGCTGGGGAGGGGCTGTAGTGAGTGAGACACTTACCCCTTCCTCCAGGGAACAACCTAATGAGGATCAAATGGCTCCAATGCTGTCAGTGGATCAGTGGCTCTGATGTGCAAGGCACAGAGCGGCTTGGAGGGAGGAAGGAGCATTGCCTTTGCTTCTAAGGGGTCAAGAAGGACGTCACAGAGGGGGGGTGTGAGCAGGGTCTTGGAGGATGAATAGGAGTTTATCAGGCAGAAAAATGAGAGAAAAGCATTCTACGTAGAGGGAATAGCATAGGTAAAGGCAAGGAAATACAAAGTTTAGAGTTGGAGAAGCTACAAATAATTCAGGAGGGAGATTAGAGGGAGGTGAGACTGGGACAGGAGGGGGTCAGGCCTAGGAGGGTGTGTATGGAAACCTGCGGGACCCACGCTTCGTTCTCGGGGTGAGGGGTGAAGCATTCTAAGTAGAGGAGGCCTACTGGCTGAACCTTGGCCACGAGGAGGCTGGATGAGAGGGGACGACATGGAGGCAGGGGAATGGTCAAAGGCTGCGAGACTAATCCTGGTGAAAAACATCAGCGTTTAAAGAGGAACAGCAGGAAGAGAAAATAAACAGCAGCTGAGTTTGCAAACGAATTTAGACGAGGGACGTGTCCAGCTGGTAACGGGGTGAGAGCCCAGATGCTCCAGGTGGGTGACTGGCAGGTGGGAAGGTGGAGCCGGTCCAGAAAGGGAGGCTGGCGAGGGGGCAGCGTGGGGCTTGGGGGAAGCTGGCATGTTCCGCCTGGGGGGTGCTGAGGTCAAGGTGCGACACCCAGGGGAGGCCTCCGGGTGCCCGCTGGGACCATGTGGCTGGAGCTCAGAGACTGGCCTCTGACGGCGCTAAGCAGTTACAGACACAGGCTGCTCCAGCTGCAGGGAGGACGCGGGCGGGAGAGAGAGGCGGGGACTGGGCCCAGGGAACCCGGAGGTTTCGCGACGGGCCGGTGTGAGAAGAAACAGAAGCAGGACAAGCAGGAGGGACGTGGCTGGGGGCTATGCACGTACAGGGCGGCGGGACAGCTAGACAGCTGCACAGGGACAGGGGCAGGGATGGCGGCAGGGCTGGCCGTGGCTAGCCCCCAGTGCCGGGCTCAGGGCCCACGCGTGGAGGTGCTCACAGCGGCCTGGTTTGAGTGGATGCGCAATGGGGGAGAGCATGAACGGTGACCCACCCCGGAGCTGCTGATGGCCCGCTCTTCTGCCTCTGGGTGAAGCCTCCCGCCACCCCCAGACTCGCCCTCCTCTGCAGCAGATACCCCTGGAGGGTCTAACCCTCGGACTGGCTCCAGATAGTCTGCGATCCCACACTCGCCCCCCACTGGGCCAGAGGCGCTGCGGCAGGGGGTCAGCTGACCCGGGCCGGCCCATCAGCATCTGTTCTGCGGTCTGGCCTCTGTATCTTCTTAACTGAGAATGTGGGTGGTGTGCGTGTGCGCGCTCAGTGTGTGCGGCGTGTAGGCAGTGAGGGAGGCCGGAGTGTGAGAACCAGCGGCAGGCGCCCAGACAGTATGGGCAGGCCAGGAGGGAGAGGTCCCCGAGACCCGGCGTCTCTCCCCTGGGCCCGCCTCGGCTGCTGTGGGGGTTTGACTCCGGCTGTCCTGAGGTCTGTGTGGGAGGAGCCTCTCCCTGGGCGCTGGGGATCCCCCGCCCGCCTTCTGAGCAGGGCTCGAGGCCTCCTGCATCGCCGTCGGAGGCCACCACCTGTGCTTCATGGTGAGTCAGCACGGAGGGACTTGGCACAGGCTGCGATGGCAACACCGACCCAGGCCGCAGAGGAAGACCCGGTACGGCACCGGCCTCTGGCCGCGCTAAGTGCCTACAAACACCCTCCGGCTCCCAGGTGGGCCCCGGGGGCGCTGGCTCCTTCTGACATGACAGGTGGCGGCTGTCAGCCCCTGTCGCGCACTCCCTGTGGGTTTCTCGGGGATTCTCTGGGCGGCCTTTCCTTTCCTCCTGAGCGGTGCCGGAGGGGGGCATCCTGGGCTGGAGACACTGACCCTCTCCTGGGGCTCCTGTGGTCCTAGTGAGACGAGGGCTGAGCTGAGTCCCTTTCTGAGGCCAGTGACAACTCAGGCTGGCGTCTCGCCCCGAACGCAAAGGTCACTGACACAGGAGGGAAGAGCTTTGACAGTGACTTGATGGGTCTTCCCCATGAGCTGGCCGTGTCCTCCGGCCCCTCCGTGCGGTCACAGTGGCGTCTTGCGGGCAGGTAGCCGTCGGGACAGGGCCAGGGCTGCAGGGCTGCGGGCTGTCCACTGAGCAGCCAGACGGCTCTGAGCCCTGCACAGACGAGGCCCCAGGGCCTGCGCGGATGAAAGAGCACCTCGGCATTCCTGGCTGGCGGCCTGTGCCGCATGCTTCCATGGCACCTGGGGCTCCTCCTTCAAGAGAATTCCTGGCAGGTGTGGCTAGACAGCGGGGCTTGCTTTGCCTGCCGGAGCTCCTCAGGCTTAAGGTCAGGTCTGAACTAAACAGAGGCAGGCAGCCCACCAGCTCTTCCTGGAAGGCTGGGAGGCCAGAGTCCAGGAAAGAGCTGGAGAGGGTGCTGGAGCCCGAGCACCCCAAGGGCTGCCGACCTTGCTTGAGGGGCTTCAGAGACAGCAGCAAGCAGGGAAAAGGTTAAAACAAATGTTTATTTAACAAATTATATTAAGAAGACAATCACACAGTGAAACTTCCCTTTGCCAAGTATGAGAGTCACACCTTAAATAAATGCACGCGGTAAAGACGTTGTTCCTACGGTGAGTGCGCAGCAGCCTGTTCGAGGCCCTGCGTGGCCACACGCCCTTTGTGGAGAGAACAGGAGCCCTGCCATAGCAGTGACAGCCGGTCCCTGCCGGGCCGGTTCAGAGCAGGTGCAGAAAGCCAGGCTGACTGCGGCCCCCTCCACCAGGCCCCAGGAGTGGGTAGACAATGAACCGCATCAAAGAGCGCCCCCTCTGCACGCCCTGTGGGCACGTGGCTGCTGTGTCAAGGCCCTTCTTTGCCTTTAGGCTCTCTGGTCTCAGAGGAGGTGCAGGCTGGGGTTCCCTGCAAATGAGGGTCAGCCAGCAGCCTCGGGGGAGCCCTTTTCTGGGTGGGGTGAGCAGGGCCGCAGGGCTTTTGCCCCATGCTCAGCGCAAATGGCGTGGCGACATGGTGACACCAGTGTGCTAGAAGCAATGGGACTGGTGGCAGTGGGGAGGTCTGTGACTGGACTGGAGACAAGGCCAGTGAGGCAGGTGCTCAGGACAGCTGGCCCAGTGGGCTCTGGGGCCAGACAGGACTCCGTCCGAACCCTGTTCCTGCCACTTACCAGCTTTGTGTCTGAGGACAAGTCTCAACTTCATCTGTAACAAGGAGTAAACAACATCCACTTTTGGGTATTTGTTTTTTCTTTAGGGGGAATGATGGGAGAAAATGTGCTTAAAGTGCCGGCCTAGTGCCTGGCGGCATTCGTCCTTGTCCCCTGCCTTGCGGATCAGGGCAGGTGGCAGCGGCCGTCCTCTGACTGGGAGCGAGGGCAGGCAGGTGGGGGTCTCCCCTGCTGTTTCTCCCCCCTCGGGGTTCTCATTTCTCCGAGCAGAGGGGGGCTGTGGCCGACATTAGTCCCTGAACTTGGGGTGGGAAAGCAGGCCTTGTTAGACGTTTGCATGTGAACCTGGAGCAAACCACTTACTCCTCGCCACTGCTGCGCCATGTCCAAGGCCTTTGGAGAGAGGCCTTGAATTATCAGAGGGAAGGGAGGGGGCAACAGGACATTGTGCTCTGCTCGGTCTTTTCAGGAGGGGCAGAGGCTGCTGGGGGCCGAGGGTGAGGCCCTGCCCTTCACATTTCTACGAAAACCCCATTCTTCCCTCCCCATGTGGCCAGAGGGTTTGTGAGGAAAAGCACCCTCCCAGAAGGAAGCCAGAGCCTCACTTCTGGGCTCCCCTGTGGCCTGCACGAGTCCTACGTGGTGAGGTGTGCGTGAGTACCCCGGCCTACCATTACCCAACTCTCAAGGCAAAGAGGCAGAGGGTTAGCAGCAGCCTAAAATCTACCACAGATGCCAACTTTTCTTAACACTATTGCTGCTTAATGTCTTAACATCTTAAGCTGCTGTTTACTGCAGCATTCACAGTCAGCGTCAGACCCAGGCTCAGTCAGTACTGCCAGGCAGTCTCTCCGGCTTGCCTCACCCAGTTGGCACAGCTCTGCCGCTTCCTGGGGGCCCTGCAGCCCTGCCTTGTTCTCTGTCCTAGAACTGCAGGATGCCCCCCACACAAGGGACTCCACATTGTTGTCTATGTACCTTCCAGGGCCCATCAGCTATGGACACGCCTGGTTGTCAGTCCAATGAGAGGGGCCTCTGGGTGTGCCTGTTAGACACAATCGCACACCCAGGGCGTGAAAACACATGGAAGGACAAAGCGCACAAACCAGACTGAAGTGACCAGAGCTCTGTACCCCACGACTGCTGCACATCACCCTTCGCTGTCGGGCTTTGAGGCACACCAGTCACTTGGCTGTGGACCAAACAGCAGCAGCAGACACAGGTTCTCTGGGCCCCATGGGGCTCCCCCAAGTTCCCAGAAACACAATTAGCTTATTCCAGTGGGTACCTGTGGACCCGCTCATCTGCACTCTCCTGTGTGAGCGCCATCCCGCCAATCCGCACGGGGCCTGGACCTCCTGGACCCTGATGGGTGGGTTCCAAGATGACCCGTGTTTTCCTGCCACTTTGCTGCGTGGGAGGTGCGGGGAGGCCAGCCCACCAGGGATGCCCTCGGGCCTCAGGAAGGCGGGAGGGGACCGCTCCCCACCAGAAATCAGGAGGTATCAAAGTGAGGGTCAAGCATGGTGGGGCTGCTGCAGGTCCATGAGGTATCTTGCCCCACCCCCTCCGGGTCCATTCCTGCTGTGCTCCGGCCACCCAGCTGGCCCTGTGCATCCGGGGACTGCAGGAGGAGGGACTGTCCCCGGCAGCAGGGGAGGCTCACCTGTGCTGCCTTCCTGCCGCGGAAACCTCACTGCTGCCCCGGGCCACCAACACACCAGACTCCAGACACACACGGACCCTCACATCCAAAGAGCCAACCGCCTGGTGACCCCCAAGGTGGGAGAGAGCAGCAATCTGTGGAATTAGGACACACGGAGGCTGTGGGGCGAGGGCTCGAGCCTCCAGGGATGCAGCACCCCCATTCTCGTGACGAATGTGTGTGGGGCTGGACTTGGCGGCTGGCGCGGTGAGCAAGGCCAGCATGTTCACTGGCCACTTGTGACGGAAGTTTCAGTTGGCCTCAGTTTGGTGACCTGGGTCAGATGGCCTTTTGAAACAACTGTTGCTGTGCATGGAAGCCATCAAGATGGCCCGGCTCTGGGAGCCAGGTGGCCACGGGGCACGTCCCTCCCCCGGGGCTGGGCACTGGCCCACAGAGCCTTGGCCCCGGGAGGGTCTGTCCTTGGGGCTGGTGCACGGGCTGCAGCAGTGGGAGCTGCGGTGGCACGTGGGCGTTGTGGATAAGCCCTTTGTGGGGAGAGGCTGTGACCTTGGTGGCACGGTGTCGGGGCAGCGAGGCTCCTGAGTGCCAGTCGCTCAGCCTCCTCACCCGGAAGGTGCGTCTCTGTGCCGGGGGCTGGGGTGTGCTGCTCCCCGGCCGCAGGACATCCAGTTTGTGAATCGAGTGATAAATCCAAGGGATGTCCACGGTGGGGGTGGGGCAGGGAGCCAGGCCCCGGTCCGCCTGGGGACCCGCAGCTTCTGCCTGTTTCCTCAGGGTCACCATGAAATGCTTGGGGCTGGTTCCATGGCAGCCCTGGGCTGGGGCGACCAGCGAGCTCAGGAGGTGCCATGCGAAGCCGCCACCCCCCTCTCCACCCTGGGTCTTCCAGAAGGACAGCAGCGGCAGGCGAGTCAGTAGTGAGGAGCCGGTGGTGTCACTGGGCAGCCAGGCAAGTATCCAGGCCTCTCGGGGGTGGCTCCTGCAGTGGGTGGGGTTGCTTGTAGGACGACTGGTCATCACACAGATATGTTAGGAGCTGTGGTCAGTACAGCACATGTAGATTAGTCGAGATTATGAACGTCCCCAGGGAGGCGGGGGTGTCACGTCAGGCGAGCAGATGACCGAGGAAGGAGCAGCTCAGCTGCCCGGAGTCTCCCGGATGAGCCGCGGGGGGGCAGTGCGAAGGGCGGGCAGGAGGCCCGGGCCAGGGAGGGCGCTCAGTAGTTCGGCCAGAGGCTCTTCTCCCTGCAGGGCAGCAGGTGGCCTCTCAGGACTGGGGGATCTGCTGACACCGGGTGGGGCTGGGTGGCAGCCTGGCAGCAGCACTCTGCTCGGTGCGGAAGCTGTACTCGTACTGCAGGAGGGAGGGAACAAGCAGTCAGCGCGTGAGCACTCCACGGCCTCAGACGGAGCCCACGCCAGCCCCTGGCACCAGCCTGCTGAGTGATCCCCAGGCAGGCAGGGCTGCCCTGAGCAGGGCACACCCGTGCGTGCGCGTGCAGACCCACCTCTGGTGCTGTGGGTGGCTGGCTAGTTTGTGACGGTGCCTCTCACAGCCCCTGCCCACAGGGTGGGTCCTGGGCCCCAGCAGTTGGGCGCTGGCTGAGCTGCAGAGGAGTGGCTGGATGGGAAGGGGCAGCTCTGGGACTCCACCCTGACCCCGACCTGAGGCTGGCTGCAGCCATCAGAGGACCCCTCGACCTGCCATCTGTGCCTCCTGAGTGTGACCAGTGATAGATGCTCTGTGTGCATGGGACACGGGCGGGGATGGGGGGCAGTGCCCTGCACCTGCGTGTGCCAAAGGGCGTGTGACTGTCCTCATTAATTGGCGAGTGCCCAAGGCTCCGTGAGGGCAGCACCTGGCACAGGCACCCAGTCTGAGCCGGGGTGCCCTGGTAGAGTGCGCCTGTGCCCGGCTCCCTCTCTGCCTGTCCTCCATCAGAGCCCAGCCCTTACACTGAGACCTACTGTACCTCACTGGCCCTGGGTCTCTGAAATGAATCAAGATGGGTTCCAAATCTGATGGAAATTCAGAGAAGGGGCAAGTACCTCTGCCAGGGAGAGGGGTTGCCTGCAGGTCACCCTGAAGGCCAGGTGGGAGCCCAACATCCAAACGTGAGGCAGGGCAGGTGGTGGGGAAGGGGCGTGCACAGGTGGGGGGGGCGCCTGGCAGAGGCGGCCTGGGGCTGGGGTGTGGGGCCGCGGGGAACGGTGGGAACACTATGACGCAGCTGCGGGGTTTTAGGAATGAGGAGTTTAGGTTAGTGGCTGTTAAATATTTTAAAAATTAAAATTTGTTTTAGCAGTAGTAGTTCCATAAAAAGGGCTCCCCTACATAGAGCCAAGTGGCGTGGCCCTGGGTGAACATGGTTGCCGCCTCCTCAGGGACCCTGGGGGGAGGCTGTTAGGGGGATGGTGAGTCATTATCCCTGCAGGATGGTGACCCGTGGGCACCCACCTCCCACCAGCTGCACCCCAAGGTGAGCTGCCTGCATCAAGGGGGTACTTCCAAGGGCTGCGCTGAGCAAGGGGAACAGGGCTGCCAGGTTCTCTGTTCTCTCTTCCCCAAGTGGAGGTGGTGGGGAGGCTAGCCACCCCTGCCTGACAGGCCCACAGTGCCAGCGGGGATGCACGGACACACACATACACGGACACACACACACACACACACACACACACACACGGCCCTGCCCCATCCCTGTGTGAGCAGTGGGGTGGGCAGCCTCCAGTGGCCCGGCCCCTGAACCTGCAGCCAGAGCAGCTGGAGGGCCCAGTGGCCCCTACAAACAGCAGCTGTGGCCGGGAGGGGTGGGGAGGGGGGTACCTGATATTGTAGGGGGACCTCAGGCAGGTCTTCTCTCTGAGCCTCACTACACTCATCTCTAAGGTGGGGTCTTATCAAGAAATAAGCATTGGTGAGGATGTAGAAAAAAGGGAACCCCTGTGCATTGCTGGTGGGAGTGTAAACTGGTGCGGCCACTATGGAAAACAGTAGGGAGGTTCCTCAAAAAACTAAGAATGAACTACCATGTGTTCCAGAGATTCCACCTCTGGGTATGTACGTGAAGAAAATGAAAACTTACTTGAAAAGATGTCTGCACCCTATGCCCATGTCAGTAGTCACAACAACCAAGAAACAGAGACAACCGAAGTGCCCATTGGCAGGCGACAATAAAGACGATGTATCTACACACAACATATCCCACCCTGAAAAATGAAATCTTCCATTTGTGACGACATGGATGCAACTTGAGGGCGTTATGCTAAGTGAAACAAGTCAAAGAAAGACAAACACCAGGATCTCACATGTGGGACCTGCATAGTGAGACTGAACTCAGATGCAGGGAACAGACTGGGGGCTGCTGAGGCTGCGAGGGGGCATGGGAGGAGTGGCTAAAGGGGGTCAAAAGGTACAGACTTCCAGTTCTAAGTGCTGGGATGTAAAGTTCTGCACAGAGACTATAGTTGGTAGTACTGTGTTGTGTATTTGAAAGTTGAGAATTTTTAAGATTTATTCTTATCATAAGAAAAAATTTTCTGTATCTGTGTATGGTGATAGATGTTCCTAAGACTAACTATAGTGTCATTTAGTGATATGTACAAATACAGAATCATTGTTGTACACCTGAAACTAGTGTTATATGTCAATTATGCCTCAATTATAAAACAGTGGGTCCCTCTACTCCCAGGGGCTGCTTTCAGGGTGTGGTGAGGTACGGCGGGTTCAGGGCCCACCCCGTCACCAGGCGAGCGCTTGCTGCACATTTGTTGGCAACACTGGAGAGCCCATCGGAGCAGCCCCCAGCCCACTGAGGCTCCTGCTCTCTAATGCCAGGACCCAGGCCAGGGCCTGGGGACCCCAGCCCGCAGGGGGCTGGCAAGCAGGGCACTAAGGAGGGCTTCTGCGACGCCCAGGACAATACCGCCACCTGGTGGCTGCGTGGTGCGTCGCGGCAGGACAGGCTCCCTCCTCGAGCACCCGCATCCACCCTGTGCTGGCACCAGAGCCAGGAGAAAGCCCCACGAGTGTGGCAAGGGAGGGACGTAGGCTGCTGGTGCCATTAACCCAAATGGACACACAGGAGGAAGAGCGGGCTGGGGAAGAGCTTGAGTGCATTTCTGCCCAAGGCTGAGCCAGGTGGAGGGGGGTAAGCAGTGCCAGGCTGGCTGCACAGGCTGGGGGTGTAGTCTTTCAAGACACCTGGATCCTCAGCAGGGGCACTGCTTGGTGGGCGAAGTGTCAGGTGCAGCTGTGGACAGGTGAATGTGGCCCTCTCCCAGGGGGTGAGTGGAGGCTGGCACCCAGGGAGGACATGCAGGCTACGTGGTTAGACACAGGCTGCTCACCCTTTAATGCACACAGTTCCCCTCGGGGAGGGGGGTCCTGTTAAAATGCAGATTCTGATTTAGTAGGTCTGGAGTAGAGCCTGAGATTCTGCATTTTCAACAAACTTTCAGCTGACCTGATGTTGCTGATGGGGACCAATGTTGACAATTCTGCGGCCCAATCGACAGGACAGAGTGGAGGTGCTTGGGAGTGGGCAGGGGGGAGGGGGGCAGAGATGTGAGGGCTCAGGGGGTGCTGAAGAGGGGCTAGGGAAGTGGGGTGGGCTTGCTTTGGTTGTGCCAGGGCAGCAGCAGAGGTGAGGCACCTCTTAAATGAGGGAGCGAGCCCAGTGCCAACAGCTCTGTCATGTGCTGGGGGGACAGTTGTGGGCTGTGTCACTTCTCCCTCAGGAACCTTTGCTGTGCCCTGCTACGTGGGGCTCTGTGCCAGGCTGCCAGGGGTGGGAGGATGCCCATGCAGCAGTCAGGCCTCCTGGATTTGCTGGGGGCCGGTCAGCCACAGAAAGCACATGAAGGGAGGTGGAGGCACGAGGTCCCAGACGCCCAGTCAGGGCCTCAGGCCTGGGTCTGCGAACCTGGATGCTAACGGCTGAGCCCAGAAAACTGCACTTCGGCTTTGCGGATGCACAGTGGGTGGGAGACAGAGAGAGGGGAGCAGGATATTTCCTAACCGGGGCACGCAAGTGTGTGGCCAGGGCGAAGTGCCTCGGTGGGGAGTCCTGACGCCAGTCTTTGTGGCCAGGAACAGGGACAGGGTCACCGGAAAGGGGGCTGTACACGGGCCTTCAAGGACGAACTGTTAATCCCCTGACTCTCCAGCGCGCTGGGGCTGGCTGGGAAGGCGGGGAGAGGATGGTGAGCACACAGTCGTTCCCTGACTCTCAGCTCCTCGAGAGGGCCGGGGACCTAGCGTGTGGCGCACAGACTGCTGTGCACCCCCGCCCCCTACCCCATGCCCCGCCCTTGGGATTTTCCCCTTTTTAGATTATCTTGGCTGGAGAAAAGCAATACTCCCCCACCTCTTGTTTTCTCTAACTCCCCAAATGAAATTTCAACATATGTCCCCAGACATAATCCCCCTTAGGCCGCGGATAACCCTTCCCACAGACGCCGTCCTCTGCCCGGGATCGCTGCCCCCAAAGTGTTTGCCCAAGAGACTAGGGCTGCTTCTGGAAGCCCTTTCACTCCCCTGGGCAAACAGCAAGTACCTTTGAAGGTGGATTTGGGCGCTGATCTGTTTACTCAAGACATTAGTCTCCCGCATAAAGAAAACCTGCACTCGCGTACAAACAGCAAATCCTTTTTGAATTAAAAAAATTTTCAATTAAAAAGCACTTGAGTTCACAGAGCTGAGACCAGCTGAGCAGCACCGGGCTGTGGCGCCCTCTGGTGGGCACAGGCTGTCACCACAACAGCACCGAGGCCAGCCTACGCAGCCTCTCCAGGAAAGAGACGTCACTGTCAGGTCTCTGTGTGCAGCTTTCCAGGGGCCCTGGGACAGGATACCTCTGGGCGGGACACCCTGCAACTGGCGCATCAGACCTCTAGGGCCATGGGGCATGGGTCCCAGCTTCCAAGACTCTTTTGTCATGGCGAAGCCGGAGTCCCAGCAGTGGGAGGTGCTGACCTGGGCCTCCAGTGGCACCACACAAGCAAAGCCTCCTGGGAACAAGGGCGTGGTCCAGCACCCCCGGTCCACGCACAAAGATGTGAGGATCACCTAAGAGTTTGAGAGTGAAAAAGAAAGGCCTCCTGATGCATCTGAATCAAAGGATTTGCCCACAGCGATACCTGGGCCCTGCCCAGGTGGCATGGTGGGGCAGGCAGCTGCAATTTATAAAAGCACACAGGTGATTGTAATGGTTGGGCAGGTGCAGAACCACTGCCTGACAGCTTACCAACTACAACGGAGGGAACAAAGGGCACACGTAACCCCCTCAGGTCTAGAGGGATCTGGGGGATCCAGATGACAAAGGGCCCTAAGGGATTGTTTCCAGCACCCAGGCA